TGGATTCTTGGGAAGAAAATGCATATACAGAAATGAATTGAATAAGTGATCCTTTGAAATAAGCCTCTCTAACTGCCAAATCCAATGGCATAGACCGCCTTTCAGTGCCTTTCACATAACAACTACTGCCCCATTTTGGTAAAGTTTGTTTCCCTTCCAAATACTTCATCTTTTTTTTTATTTGAAAAAAAAAGAAAACATATAATTAAAAGACAAGACATACACATCAATAATATAATAATCATCTAAATTTGGTTAAAGTCATAACATTCTTTCAAAAATTTATAACATATTAATAAAAACAGTGCGTATCTGATTGATTATGTTAGAAGAATAAATTGTATAAGGAAAGGATTGACCACCTTAATGATAGGGTCAATCCTTGTACAGTAAAAGGAAATGATTGACCATCTTAATGGTAGGATCAATCATTTCCTAAATTAGACGATACAGGATCTCTAGGATCAATCCTTGTACAGTAAAAGGAAAGGATTGACTACCTTAATGGTAGGATAAATCATTTTCTAAATTAGACGATACAGGATTCCTAGAACTATGTTAAATTGTCTATAAATTGTCTATAAGAGAAGAGTTGTACACAGAAAAAATTATAATGAGAATTGAAACCACTTCTTCAAACCTAAAACTCTAAATCTAATATGGTATCAGAGCAGTATCGATCCTAGGGTTCGATTACTTGTTCATCATTTACTAACAACTTACCTGTCCAGCGACATGAGTAACGAAGCCAATAGCAGTATCAATCCGGCACTGACTGAAGCGATAGAAGCATTGTCAACACAGATTGCCCAGTTGTTAAAACAACATACCACAATTCAATCAAACAATAACCAAACAGCCTTAGTCGATATTAAACTAAATGATCACAACTACTCCCTGTGATGAAGATTGATGCGATTGGCCATTAGTGCAAGGGGACGATTGGACCATATCACTAGAAATTCTCCACCTCCAGCCACAGAAGACCCAGTGTTTGCCATATGGGAGAAAAAGGATCTCTAAGTTTTTTCATGGATCATTCAAGCCATTGAACCGGACCTAGTTAGCTAGTACGTCGAATATCCAACGGCCAAAGACCTGTGGGATGGTTTAGCGGCTACATACCGAAGTGGGGAAGATGCGTTGCAAATCTTCAACCAGATGACAAAAGCAAACAGATAGCAATAGGGGCAACTAACACTGGAAAAATATTACAATATTTTTCAAGCAATTTGGTGAGAAATAGACAGAAGACAACCCAATCCAATGACAAGCCCAGCAAATATTTCTACATTTAACAGATTAAAGCAAGAAAGTCGACTGTACTAATTTCTCGCCGGAATGAATGATCGATTTGATTCGGTCAAGCGTGATTTACTGAAAGAAATTCCCTTACCATCCGTTGAAGCAGCGTATGCTACTGTCCGGAGGGAGACCGCCCGGATGAACATACTCAGTCCATCGGCAGCCATGGATAGCGGTGAAACTCCAAGCATTGGTAGCGGGTTAGCCACAAGAGGACAAGGGGAGAGGTCCAAGTCTATGGTGAAGAAAAAAAACCAGGTGCACAGTGAATAGCAGCCCTGACCAGACTTGGCAAACGGAGCAGCAAGTTCATTATTTCAAAGGAAAATTGATCGGAGCAGCCTCAAGTGTTCTTATTGCAACCTAATCGGACACATCAAGGACGAATGCTTTCGTCTCATTGGTTTTCCTGAATGGTGGAAGGACAACCCGAAGAGGAGAAATCGCGACCGGGAAAAAAGTGGCCGAGCCGCCGCCGTGATGAGCAACCAGGAGGTCGCTGGTGTCCACAGCAGCGGCGAAGATGGAGGATTTGCTACCATTGGAATAGGAAGAGGGGCAGCCGAAGCAAATGGGAGAGGAGAAAGAGATGGGACAGGTATAGGGTTTGGCAGGGGAAAATCACCTCCAAACCCTTCAATTCTTAATCATATTTATTTTGCACATAATTGTTTTGATCTACATGAATTAAGTACTGAAGGTTCTGATTGTATGCAATTAAGTCCTGATTCCTTTAAAACAATTCAGATTGACCCCGGAGGTTTTGAGAAAAAATAGAAAAAACTCAAAAAAAAAAAAAATAGAAATCATTCCCGGGTAATGAGAAAAAATTCGGCTAGGTCGAAAAAATACTCAAATGGTTATTTGACTGTGCGGCAACTGATACCAGAAAAACATAAAATTCAGACCGTCAATGGAGATTTTGTACCTATTAAAGGGGCAGGGTCCATAGAGTTATCCCCAACCCTGAAATTGTCCAAATGTCTCTATGTCCCATCATTGTCTTCTAAATCGCTATCCGTTAGTCAAGTGACAAAAGAACTGAATTGTATGCTTCTAATGCATTTGAATTTTTACCTTTTACAGGACATCCAGACATAGGAGATCATTGGGCGTGGCACTGAATACGATGGTTTGTACTATGTCGACGAAGTGGCTTGGACAGGGCCTGCACTTCTAGCTCATGGGATGACTAGTCGACAGAGTTGGTTGTGGCACCGACGATTGGGACACCTGTCACATGGTTACCTCAAAATCCTTTTTCCTCAGTTTCATAATAATACTCCTTGTGATACTTGTGTTTTGGCAAAAGTGGCACTGAATACGATGGTTTTGTACTAATGTTCGACAAGTGGCTGGACAGGGCCTGCCATTCTAGCTCATGGGATGACTAGTCGATCAGAGTTGGGTTGGGCACCGACGATTGGGTACACCTGTCACATGGTCCTTGGTTACCTCAAAATCCTTTTTCCTCAGTTTCATAATAATACTCCTTGTGATACTTGTGTTTTGGCAAAAAGCCATAGGAAGCCTTTTTTTTCTAGTAACACTGGGGTTGCACATGCATTTGATTTAGTACACTCTGATGTATGGGGTCCTGCTTCGAACTCTGGAAACAATGTTTTTAAGTATTTTGTGTTATTTATTGATGATTGTACTCATATGACGTGGGTATATTTTTTAAAACACAAATCTGAGGTTCCACAGAAATTTGTGCATTTTTACAATCTCATCCATACCCAATTTCAAAAACAAGTTGGAATACTCAGATCTGATAATGGGGGGAATTTGTCAATCTTTCCATGTAAACCTTCTTCCGGGAAAATGGGTTAGTACACCAAACCACTTGTCCGAACACCCCACAACAGAATGGTGTAGCCGAACAAAAAAACAGAATCCTTCTTGAAATCACCGGAGCCTTAATGCTTGAATCTCAAGTTCCTCTTAATGCTTGAATCTCAAGTTCCTCAGTCTTTTTGGCCTGAAGCTGTAACCACTGCAGTGTACCTTCTTAACCGTTTACCCATTAAGATACTTAACCTAAAAACCCCTCTACAATCTCTTTGAACACACCCAAGTGCCCCCAGCCTTGACACTATCACCTCGAATTTTTGGATGCTCAACCTTTGTTCATATTCCAAAGACTGAACGTTTGAAATTTGATCCCTGCACAGTCAAATGTGTCTTTGTGGGATATAGGATTAACCAAAAAGGCTACCGCTGCTATAACCCCAAAACCCGTCGTATGTACACCATAATGGACTGCGACTTTCTTGAAACTGAATATTTTTACCACACCCAACACAGTGGTATATTTTTACCACACCCAACACAGTGGTCTGGGGGAGAGTAAAACAGAAATTGACCCACTGAGTTGGTTACTCAGTCCAACTTTGTCTGTCGGTGAATCTAACAAAAAAGCTAGTGGATTCATTGAGTGTGGATCCGTTGAGCCTGCTTCAGACAATGTAGAAATTACCGAATTTAGTGACACACCTAGGACTGCACAGTTGGATGTCCAGGAGGTAAGTACCCAAGTTCATAATGATTTTACTTCTACTTCACATTACTCTGAACATGAACATGCAGCTCCTAAGACAGAAGTAGTTGAGACTACAGGGAGATATATTCTTCCTCATAGAAGCACTCGAGGTATACCTCCGAAGAGATACTCACCAGAACATGAACCCAAAACGTCCAGATATCCAGTGGCTAACCTTGCCAGGGGGAGTTTGTCCGAAGTAGCCAAAGTGTTCACAACAATACCATACACTGAAGTTATTCCTAGAACAGTACAGGAGGCTCAACAAAAGAAGGAATGGAGATGGACTATGGAAGTTGAAATGGAGGCTCTTGAAAAAAAACGGAACCTGGCAAAAGTGCAAACTACATACTGGAAAGAAGATAGTTGGGTGCAGATGGGTTTTTACAGTGAAGCACAAGGCAGACAGAACCATAGAAAGATATAAAGCTCGGGTTGTGGCAAAGGGATACACTCAGACATATGAAGAAGGATAACACTCAGACATATGAGTGGATTACTCATAACATTCAGTCCCGAAGTAAGTAAAAATTGATACGCATTCAGATATTGTTACTCAAGTGTGGCGGGACATGGATTGGCCACTTCCATCAGATTGTGATGTGAAAAGTATTGGCCACTTCATCAGTTTGATGTGAAAAGTGCCTTTCTTCACGGTGACCTTAAGGAAGAAGTATATATGGAAGCACCACCAGGGTTTACCATGGGATTTCAACAAGGAGAAGTATGTAGACTGAAGAAGGTATTATACGGGCTAAATAGTCATCTAGAGCATGGTTTGGAAGATTTACTGTTGCGATGAATCGCTACAGGTATCGACAGAGCAACTTGGATCACACTTTGTTTCTAAAGAGAAGAAAAGAACTGATTACATGCCTAATTATCTACGTCAATGACATGATCATTATAGGCAATGATACAGAAGAAATTGCACATCTCCGGGGAAACTTGTTTAAAGAATTTGAAATGAAAGATTTGGGGGGACTGAAGTATTTTTTGGGAATTGAGGTATTGAGATCCAATCAGGGGATTTTCATATCTCAGCCAAAGTGTATCCTTGATCTCCTAACCGAGACTGGATTGATTGACTGTAAGCGAGTTGAGACCCCCTATCGTGGTGAGTCATGGTCTAAAAATAGAAGAGGAAGCAGACATGATAGATCGTGAGAGTTACCAAAGACTAGTAGGGAAGCTCATCTATCTCTCACACACTAGACTTGACATAGCGTATGCTATCAGAGTAGTAAGTCAGTTCATGCACAAGCCACAGGTGAAACATATGGATGCTGCCTTGAGAATTGTACGATACTTGAAAGGGTCACCAGGGAAAGGAATCATGTTCAGGAAAAATGGACACTTGGTGATACTTGGGTATACGGATACTGATTGGGCTGGGAATCAGGTAGATAGGAGATCGACATCGGGATATTTTTCTTTTGTTGGTAGGAACCTCATAACTTGGAAAAGCAAGAAGCAAAAAGTTGTAGCCCTGTCTAGTGTAGAAGCAGAATTCAGAGGAGAAGCTCGGGGATTAGCGGAGCTATTATTGATTAAGAAGTTACTAACTGAGATTGGATTTCCACCTCAGAGTACGTGTCAGCTTAGGTGTGATAACCAAGCTGCAATTAGCATCTCAAAAAATCCAGTGTAACATGACAGGACAAAGCATATTGAAGTGGACCGGCACTTCATTAAAGAGAAATTAGAAGGAGGGATCATCAATCTACCATATGTTCGATCTAAGGATCAGCTGGCAGATATTCTGACCAAGGCAGTGACAGCGCGAGTCTTCCATAAAACATTGTGCAAGTTGGGTGTTGAAGATCCCACGACCCAACTTGAGGGGGAGTGTTAGAAGAATAAATTGTACAATCATTTCCTAAATTAGACGATACAGGATCCGTAGGATCAATCCTTGTACAGTAAAAGGAAAGGATTGACCATCTTAATGGTAGGATCAATCATTTTCTAAATTAGACGATACAGGATCCCTAGAATTATCTAAATTAGACGATACAGGATCCCTAGAATTATGTTAAATTGTCTATAAATTGTCTATAAGACAAGAGTTGTACATAGAAAAAATTATAATGAGAATTGAAACCTCTTCTTCAAACCTAAAACTCTAAATCTAAGAGATTAAACCTAATTTTAAAACTAAACGCATTCCTAAATGTAATAGATAATTGAATTCAAATATTTCGATCCCTTCTTTAGTCATGGTTATATCATTCTAATTCATATATCATGTCACTATAATTACATGATAATAATAAAATAAATAAGAATACTAAGGCATTAAATTAGTGGTAAATGCATATATAACCTGGTGATAAATGCATATTGCCTCTCTCCCATAGTCAAAAGAAATATAAAATTAAAAATAAACAAAAATAGCACATTATTGATGAAAATACATAAACTAGTAGAAATTATAATTGCCGATTTGATTACTTTCCGTAATTAATAAATATAAACAAATTATAATTTATGTATTAATTAGATTCAATTAATTTATTACCATTATTGAGGTAACTGAAATTAAAAATGGAAAAATTCAAAAAAAAAAACCAAAATCAAATTTTTTTCCGTTCAAAAAAAAAAATTTCATCATTCACTTGTAAGTGAAAACTCCTATTAAAAAGTTTTAAACATGAAGGGTTGAAGCGAAGAGATGCATACTTACAACCAAATCACTATCTTAAAATTCTTCCTTTGGCTACTCGCATTTCATTATTCAGATGCAAAATATATCAGAAATAATTGAGTGGATACAAGTAAGAGCTCTAAGTTTCATTGCCTTATTTTCTTCATAAGTCTTAATTTGAGCAAGTGTAGGATTAACACTTAGGATCTGTTTGGTAAAATTAGTTATTTTAAAAACTGTTAGTTGTTTTATTAGCTGTTAGTTGTTGACTGAGTATTCCGTAAAAATAGCTATTTAATTAGTTGGTATAACTTAAAATCACAAAAAATGAAATTAGTTGTTTAATTAGCTTAATTTAGAAGTGAAAACAATGGGTATTATTGTCAATAAAATTTAATTAAAATATAAATGCTAAACACTAAATGTTTCGTAAAAAGCTCACTTAACCTCTAAAAGTTATTATAAAAGCTATCTTACCAAATGGTACAATTAATAGAAATAAAGTTACTGAACACTATAATTAATAAAAATATAATTTTGACTTGATCAAAATACTAAAAACTAGTTAAAAAGTTATTACAGAGGAGTTAGATTATCAATTGCTTCTACGACTTATCATAGATTTAAGGGTTTTGAGACATGATTTTATTTTGATGGATCACGTGTGATAATTATATTTTTACATGAAAATTCTGATGACATGGCCGTTAACTCAACAAAATGGGCCCACACCACAAGTGCTAAATCAAAATTAATTATTTAATACAACAAATGGAAAAAAAGAATTAACAAGCAAATTTGAAGGAAAAAGAAAAATACCAAACTCCAAACTACATTAACTCAAGCAGATATGTAAGAAGTTTGATAAAATAATTCAGTTCTAATGATAATTAAGGTCAAAACTTCATTTTGCTCCTTTAACACTTGATTCAACCGATAACACAGATTAGAAGAAGGAAACAAATAAAATGCACTTGTTTGTAAGGAAATGCTTAGCTTCGGTATAGATTCTAAAAATTAGAGAAGCACAATACCAAATTCAAAAAGATTCAAACAAAAACAATATCAAATTCAAATTGCATAACTAGACTATGTTTGGTTGGATGTAATACAATGAAAAATAGAATAGAATGGAATGGAATGTAATTTAGATTCAATTATTATGTTTATTAATATAATTGATAAAATTTATGGAATGCAATCACCATTCCATTTTTATGTTTGTTTGTAAATATGTAATGTAATGTAATTAAAACACTACCACCACCAATCACACCGCTGTCACCTCCACTCCTTTATCACCACCAATCACACCACCATCACCGCTCCACCACTACCACCACCACCACTACCTCAACATCATTCCACCACCACCACCACATCATTATTAATATAAAAAAATATATGAACTAAAAACTATTCATTATATTAAGCTATTAAAGATTATTTAGATTTATAAATTTATTTGAACTAAAAAAAATTAAAAGAAGGTAAGCCGAAAAAATTGTATTTGAACTAAAAAAAATTAAAAAAGGTAAGCCGAAAAAAAAAAAGTAATTTAGGGATGATCACTCGGCCAATTCAGCTCATTAGTAAAATTTTTAACCAAAAATAAAAAATTCAAAATTTTTTTTCTACTTAACCAACATTACCGAACTGTAATTTTTTCCACTAAAACTTTTTCCGAACCATTTGGCCGAATTAAGTTTTGATTCTTTAACCGAACCGAATTTAAAGAAATAAGAAACTTAATTAATGACTAAATTAACTGAAAGTTATGATAACCGAGCTACTTTAACCGAAATAAAAATTAACCAAAATTATTAATTACTACTTAATCAAAATAAAAACTAAAATATTTTTAATTTTATTATCTATTTAATCAAAACGACATAGTTTTGAGAGTCAATTAATTTGATTAATTTGGTTAAATTAATTGTTAACTGATCACTGAGATTTTAATTTTCTTTAATCGAACTTTTAACCGGACATTTATTCAACGAACAAATTCGGTCGAATCAACCGAATTAATCGAATTGGCCGAATTGAATGCTCACCCCTAATGTAATATAACAAAATAAAAGTTAATTAAATCATTTGAAATTAACTTTTTTCATATATTTTCATTGAACAAATTAAATTACAATATAAAATTATTTGTATTTTGATATTTTTAGTGATTTTTCATTCCTTTTGTTCCATTTCTATTATAAAATAAAATAATAAATAGAGTTTTTATTATGTGGTGGCGGTGGTGGTAGAGTGGTGATTATGGTGGCCGTGGTAGAGTGATTGAGGTGGTGGTGGCAGCAATGCAAAATGATGGTTGTGGTGGTGATAATGGTGGTAGAATGCTGGTGATTGAGGTGGAGGGGTGGAGCAGTGGTGATGGTGGTAGAGCGACAATGGTGGTAATTGAGGTGGTGGTGATGTGGTAGAGCAGTGGTGGTGGTAGTTGAGACGAAGGCGATAGAGCAGTGGTGATGGTGGTGGAGCGATGGTGAGGTGGTGGTGATAGTGGTGATGTGGTTGAGCAGCGATGGTGGTGGGAGTGGTGGTGGTTGAGGTAGAGCAATGGTGGTTATGGTGGTGGAGGAGCGGTAATGGTGGTGGTGGTTGAGGTGGTGATGAGGGTGGTGGAGTAGTGGCGTGATGGTGGTGGTGGTGGTGGTAGTAGTTGAGGTGGTGATAGTGGTGGTGGTGGTGGTTGAGGTGGTGGTGCAGTGGTGGTGGTTGAGGTGGTGGAGCGGTGGTGGTGGTGGTAGTTGAGGTGGTGGAGCGGTGGTGGTGATGGTAGTTGAGGTGGTGGTAATTGTGGCACAGTGGTGGTGGTGGAGTAGTGGTGATTATGGCGGTGGAGATGATGGTAGGTGTGGTGGAGTAGTGGTTAAGCAGTGGTGGTAATGGTGGTGCTGTGAGAGTGGTTGAGGTGGTGGAACAGTGGTGGTGGTTGTGGTAGTGAGGTGGTAGTATTAAATAGCCTTGAATGGTAAAGTTTCATTGGGGTAACTTGATGTAATTGGTATTAGATGTGCTTGATGTAATGGACAATACATGTATTTTTTAATGTAATGAATATTACATCAAATTAAGTAATGAAGATTACACATGTAATCTCAATTACATTATAATGGACAATACATGTATTTTTTAATGTAATGAATATTACATCAAATTAAGTAATGAAGATTACACATGTAATCTCAATTACATTACATTATTCAAAAAAAGTGTAACCAAACAATGTAATCAGTCATGTAATGTAATCCCCATTCCATTACATGGCTCATTACATGATACCAAATATGGCCTAAAGAATTAGAGAAGCATAAATTTGAAGAATTACAAAAGCATAAACTCAATCTAAAGTATCTAAATAAAGAAATCCGTAAAAAAACTAATCAAATACTCACATTGTTTACAAATCTAATGTCAAATGTAAACTATTTACTAATTTAATACTTGTCCTGCTATAAAGAGAGAATGTTGCACAAAAACGACCAACTCAATTGGTAGTGTAAATACAATAGAAAAAGTATCTCGTATTGACAAACAGACAGCAAAAATTAATTTGATGAATTGATGGTTTCAATAAAATAAAAAAAATTTAACCTGTGAAATGATCTTTTTACTAACACAATAATTCATTTAGTGGTTTTAATGCAAATATATTATGTGATCACGAGACAGTCAGCAAAAATACACGAGACAATAGTATTTTTTTTTAAGAGTCCACTAAGTTAACTAATAATTTCAATAGAAAAATATTTATTATATCAAAGTATTTTTTTTCATTGAAACATGCACACATCTAATAATTTTGATTCATAAATATTTTAAGTTAAGTAATAAAGTCATAAGCGTTTTAAATAGTTGTAAATTACCAAGAGTAATAAAGTGTTTCAAATTGAATTTGTATTATATTAAAAATGTCTTAATAACTAATACATGACACGGGTTTCGATGTACTGCATCTTCTCTAATGCTTTGATATTTTTCTCCATACTCAATATTTATATCGACACTCATTCGACGAGTTTGAATCATATTCACAGATGGTTGTTGTAGGCTGAAAAAATTAGATAAGTCTGTTTAATCAGGTGCTATCATCATCTCAAAGAAATCATTAACTGTATGTCTTTTGGTTTAATTTATACTTCAACTAGAATAATTAGAACCGAAACAAAAACCTAAATCAGATATCTTGACCCCACCAATTGATATCAATTCTATCAAAATTCAATTGATTGACACTTTGTTTTTTGAAATCCATTAGAAAATGAGAACCAGCTATCATATTCCGTCCGGTTTGATTCCAATCAATTTCAAAAATTCTTGATTAGTGATTTCAATTTTGTGTTAAAGTGAATTTCACATATTTTAATCTTAGAAATTTGGCAACTAAATAACAGTTAAATGATGAGTTTTATCAAAATACAAAATGGTATTCTCTCCATAAAAACAGTTCCAAGCTACTTGTAGTTTAAGCTTTTAGGAAAGGTATATATATTTTGCCCCCTGAATTTGACTCGGAACACAAGTACAAAAATCGTATATTTAAGTTTTTTGGTTAAAAAACTCCGTAAGTTGTAAAAAGAGGCTCAAATAACCCAAAGCTCCTTATAGCTTGCTTATCTTTGCGAGGGAAAATTACACAAATTTTACTATCGATTGAAATTCCAACTATAGCAGCAAAAACAGTTATTATTCAAACAGAGTAGAACAAAAAGAAATTTATAACCAACTTACAGAGCCTCAAACCGATCAGCAAGCGAAAAAAAAAAAAAAAGTTACAGAGCCTCAAAACCGATCAGCAAAGCGAAAAAAAAACAAAAAAAAGGTATTTTAATATAACATTCAATGTATTTTCTCAAAAAAATATGAAAAAAAAAAAAAAAAGGTATTTTAATTAAACATTCAATTGATTTTCCAAAAAATATGTTAATTAGAAAATTCAAATTAAAAAGAAAATGACGATGAACCTGAAAACGAAGATCGTACCAGAAGGAGAGAGAATAACAACGTTAATCATGTAGGAGAACTGGGAGTGGGTGTATCCTGTGATTTTCGGCTCAGGGCTAAACAGAGATTTCCAGCGAAATTAAACATCGAGTGATGATTTTTGGTGAGGTTTTCGCCGGATTTGACTGATACATTGAGAAAACAGAGAGAGGGATATTCACATAAGGTCAAAACAAGAGTATCAAGACTCTTGGTCAGACTGATACATTGTGACTCTTGGTCAGACTTTGGCTTGACTTGAGAAGTCGCTGAGGTCAAAACAAGAGTATCAAGACCGATGCCTTCTTGCTTCATCACTCGCGTTTTTCTGCAGTTTTCGACTTTGTTATGATTAGGGATTTCTTTTGCAGGGCTTTATGTTCTTCGATATGAAATTGGATATTTCAATCAGTTCATCTACTGTCTCTCTCTTTCCTGATTTAAAATGGATTTAAATAAATAAAGAAAAACTAATTTTATGTTAACATACGGAGTTTTTCGGCCAAAAGCCTTAAAAATGAGCTTTTTGTACTTTTCACTTCTCAGGATCAAAATCAACCTTTTTCGTAGCTTTTACAGTGTGCTGTCTTGCTGTGTCCATTATATTGCCTTATTGAACCCAAATAAATCAGTTACTGCATGTACTTGAATAGTTTTTCCTCGTACGACCAAACAATGAGAAGAAGATGTCAAAATGGAAGTTTTGACAATTCAGAACGAAAATATGTTCTTTATTTCCCTTCTATCACAAATCAGAATCATAGAAAGTTGGAAGAATCAAATGAACTGTTATCACATTGCCAAACAATTACTCCAATGAGCAATCGTTCAATGACAATAAAGGACTTTGAGATAAGCAACATGATAACGAAGGTGAAGATTCACCAGAATACCTTGCCCGGTAACTGCTACCTGATAAAAATCAATCACCCCAAACTAGATCTTGTGACCTCATATGCCAAGAAGCATGCCGCATTTGCCGGAACACTTCGGGCCATGGCTGGACCAAAACCTTTATACAAGCCTTTCACACCCTCTGAGGCTAGGATCTTTCTGAAAGCATTAATGGAGCCGCTGAACTTAGGATTTCTGTAATCATCTACTTGAAGTACACTCTTGACGACATCAGTAGGGTATACCATTGCCCAAAAGGATGCCCCAGCCAGTCCTCCAGCTACCATTAAAGATCCTCTTCCCAACTGAGAAGTATCCTGGCCTCCGGCAAGGTATTGCTTCAGCAATTCATAGACACCAAACATTGCAGCATTCCCAGGAACCTCACGTCCCAAAGTAGGGACCAGGCCCTTGAATAGACCTCTCATACCACCTTCTGATTTGAGAACATGCCTTGCTACATCCATTGGCCCTCCATATTTCACTGCCACAGCAGCCGAGCCAGAACCTCCTAATGCACTTTGTGCTTGCAACCTGTTCTCAACATGAAAACAAAATGGTTCAGAAACTTCTTCTTCCAAAACGAAAAGGAAGGATAAATAGAGGATTTAGAACCCCATCACCAAGAATCTTCTGGAAATTGAATATTAATCAGCATAATCTCCAGAATATTGCAAAAAGTAAAATGCAAACCTAGTTATTTAACGAATACCAAAAGATAGTCATTCTGTGAGATAAACATGGCCCAAAGGTTCAGGAGAAAAACAAAGAGCAAAATGAAAGGGAAGTGTTCCGCTAAAGTAAAGGAAAATGTTTACACTATCAATGGGATTCCAGGAAAATTAATGAGCAAAGGCAGTGAAATAAAGAAAATGATGCTTGATAAAATGGTCAAAACCAAAATTTCCTCTTTACTTTGCCCCAGGGACTGTTCACAACACTGACCTGCACTTGATCAATTCAGTGGGGCAAGCAAGAAAAGAAACAGCAAGTCCGGCTCCAGCCCCACAAATAACCTGCTGGCTAACTGAAAGTGGGGCACCAGGTTGAGATCTCAACAATGCCTCCATTTGTCCCCTTACTGTGAAAAGGACAGCATTGAAGGCCGCCACAGTAGCAAGTGGAGCTCCCATACCTTTGTATAAACCCCTTGGGCCTTCTGCAGCCAGAGTCTGCCTGACAGCATCCATCGCACCTGCATATTTGGGAGGCTGGCCAGGCAATGGAACAGGCTGGCTTTGGAGCTTGACCTTGATGGTGTCAAAGGGATGTCCACATATCAACTGTGCAGCTCCCCCAACAGTACCAGCAGTTAAATCCTTTGCTACATCCCCCATCTGCAAGATAACTGAAAGGTATGAAAAAAAGTATTAGATTCATAATGTTGGATACTTCAAATGTTGTTCATTTTTCTCTTTAAAATAGTAAAAATTTAGAAAAACATGGCATTCTAGGAGCAGTTAAAATTAATAGTTGTTGGCAAGACAGAAGACATTCAAAACTCCAAATAACAAGAGCATCCTTTTTTTTTTTATCAGATAACAAGAGCATCCTTGCATGTATCCATAAACAATTTTCTCAGCAATTTTGAAAATCCTGGACTCGCTCTGCGTTTCTTAGAACTACAACTGAATCAATCAGCTCATTAAAAGGTGAAAAAGAACAGCAATAGCCTCTTACCTTCTGGCTCTAGATTACATCTTATGCTATTCTAACAACGATTCTCTATGGATTTTCCAAGTATATTCAAAGGTTAAGGTGAACTATGAATACAATTGAAAAGCCTAAAACTATTGTTGGCATTATGCATACTCCAATGTCAAAAGCTACAAATTTTGACTAATAATCTAAATAAGTTAAATTTAGGTTCATACATATGGAGTATAATTCAAACAATAAAGTTAAACATATAAGAAACAACCCTGCGGGAGAAAAAGGAATCAACAGACAAAAGGAAAGTAAAACGAAAGCCCAATTAGAAATCAATAGATAAACTGCTAGAACCATTTTTTACAAAGGAAAAATGAAACGCAAATTAGCTATGCAGTGATTTCTATCACTCAAAAACTTGATTCTTCAAAAAAAAAAAAAAAAAAAAGGTTCATACATATGCAGCTATAATTCCAAACAATTAAAGTCTAAAATATAAGAACAACCCTGCGGGAGAAAAAGGAATCAACAGGACCAAAACGGAAAGGTAAAACCGAAGCCAATTAGACATGCAACTAGAATAAAAACTGCTAGAACCATTTTTTACAAAGGAAAAATGAAACGCAAATTAGCTATGCAGTGATCTTCTACTCCCACTCCAAAAACTTGCATTCTTCAACAAAAAAAAAAACAAAAAAAAAAAAACAAAAGGTCGAGAGACTCATCGCGTAATACATCTTCACAAAATCAAAAACATCCACCACCCAAAAAAAAAAAAAAAAAAAAAAAAGGTGAGAAGATCATCGCGTAATACATTTCACAAAATCAAAACTCACCCACCCAAATGAACAGGCGCACAAGGAATTAACAGAAAAAAAGAAATCACTACACTATGAACATATATTTAACAATCTTACTTAAAGATTGATGATTTCAGCAAAAATCAGAAAGAGGAAGACCAAAGCAATCCAACAAATTCAGCCACACCCAAATGATTAAATCTGAAAAAGCAAAGCCAAATATTAGATCTAACCATAGCTTGTAAGTGATAATAAAAAAATTGATTGTGGGTATTACTAGACTACCATTAATAGAATGAGTGCGAACTTGCCATGAAAAGCTGCCGAAGATATGGGTTGAAAAAAAGGGAGAAAGAGAAAAAAAGGAGTTGTTTGGTGAGGTGGTCTGCGATAGGAAGTTTAAGGCGACAAAGAATCTTGAAATTAAAGACGAAAAATGGATCGAATCTTGGAGATTTTGCGAGCCACAAGAGAGTGATCGGGTGTGGACAAAAGCGACCCAATGCACTTCGTGAGCGTGGATTCCACACCAAGAAACGGAAAGGGAGAGATGAGTGGTTGTTTCAGATATGGACACTGATATCCTATGGCATTTAATAAGGTCGGAATTGGAAGAAACCGAAGAATATTTTTCCGTTGTTGTAGTTACATCTGTTAGGCGTCTATAATCCCAACTAGTTCTAATGTTGCTCCACTCCCAAAATATATTTTGGGCGTAACACTGCCAAAATTTGTATTTTGGCCCTAATAGAACTTTTTTGTTATTTTCTTCTTTTGTTGATTAGAGGGATGGAATTGAGATGGATATTTTAAAATAGTCGTTCCGCTCCCATCCATTTAATGTAGGTACAGATAATTATAAATGAATTTTAAACGGATAAAAATAGTGAAATTACTATCAGCAACGGATATGAGTAGGGTATAGGTATTACACTCTGGGTACCTACTACCCATTACCCGCGATATATAATAAATGGTTTCGACCAGAAGTACTCAATCCATATATATACCCATTACCCGCGATATATAATTAAATGGTTTTTCGACCAGAAGTACTAACACAATCCATATATATCATGATATATATATATATTATAATATATAATATTATATATATAATATATTTTGAGTCATTGTTCCAAGACTCGAGGAATCAATCTAATTGGAAATACATAGTTAATATCAAAATAGAGATATATATAATAATAATATATTATATTATTCTGGAGTCTATCGATTTCCAAAGACTCGCAGGAATCAATAATTGCGAACATACGCATAATACCAAAATAGAGATCATGGAACCACAATCGTGGCACTAGATAGTTAACATGCAAATCAAAATGAGTTTTCAATTGGAGGAACTCACAGCCTCAGATGGGCTTCAACTGACCAAGTATGTTAAAGCATCTTGAAAAAAGGTAAGTTTCCACCATTTCCTATCTTCTTAAGAATTTATGTTTGACTAACAATTGCATCTAGGGAAGCAGTGGAATAGATAGAGATATATATATATATATATATATATCTGAGTCATCGATTCCAAAGACTCGAGGAATCAATTAATTGGAACATAGCTAATACCAAAATAGAGATCATGGAACCACAATCGGCACTAGATAGTTAACATGCAAATCAAAATGAGTCAATGGAGGAACTCACAGCTCAGATGGCTCAACTGACCAAGTATGTTTAAAGCATCTGAAAAAGGTAATTCCACCATTTCCTATTCTCTTAAGTTTATGTTTGCTAAACCCTTGACTAGGAACAGTGGAATAGTTCCACCTCCCAAAAATAGGGGTGGAGCAAATCCCTGCCAACCTATTCCATGGAATCCATCCCAAAACACTAATTCACCTAAGATTAGGGTTTAATTGACTTCATCGAATCTAATGAAAATTGGGGGCCATTTTGTGCCTATACCCCAAATATATCTCCTATGACTATTTGTCATAACCCTATGACTACTGTTCATTGTTATGCTCAAAAGAACCTCAAATAGTACTATTCAATAAAAAAGGATTTACCTAAATTTGATGGGACTAATCCTAGGGGCTGGATTAGAAAGTGTTTGAATTATTTTTTTAATCTATGGTATATGTAGACCAACATGATTGAACTCGCAAGCTTATTTTTGGGAGAAGTGCCCGATTCATGATATCAAGGTTGGTTAGTTCACAACCTTAATGCAACCTGGGCACAACTTTCTGAGGATTTGTGTTCCAGATTTGGTGAATTACGTCAATGGATGTCATTAAGGAATTTAAAGCTTAGGCAAGGCAATCTGTATTTATCAAAAGAGATTTGAGTATAAAAAAACATAACCAAGGTCTTTCCGAGGAGTACTTTATCTCTAATTTTGTAAGCGGTCTCAATGAACACTTAAGTCTAATAGTTAAGCTATTGCACCCCACTACACTTATCCAAGCATTTGAACAAGCCAAGCTCTACAAACAATCCATTAAGGCTATGTTCAAACCCCATAGGTCTATCTATAAATCATCTTGACCCAAACTAGGCCACACTTGTAAAACAAAGAATTTGTTGACATTAGATGCATCTGAAATTAAGTTAGAAAGTCAAATTATTGATTGTGAGGACCACTTAAAAGACACATTAGAGGATATCATCATTTCTTTTAATGCCTTAGAGGGTAGTGTCTCTCCAAACACACTTAGGATAAAAGGAAAGGTCCAAGGTCACTCTATAGTGATTCTTATTTATAATGGTAGCACTCACAACTTCATTGACTTGAAGTTTGTTGAATTAATGCAAATCAAATTTGTCAAAACATTTTCTTTAAATGTTAAAGTGGCTAGTGGACAAAATTTAGTTAGTAGGACTAAATTCCATGAGTTGATATGGGAAATGCAAGGGACTTCTTTTACCTATAGTTTTAAGGTTTTAGATCTAGTGGAGTATCACATGGTAATAGAAGTTAATTGGCTTAAGCAATTTAACCCTGTCCTTTTCTACTTTATCACTCCTTCACTCAATATACAAAAGGATGGTTAACCATTAGTTTTGTATGACATAATTGAATTTGGATCATTGCACTTATTTATTGCAAATCGATCTAAAAATTTTTCAAAAAGAAATGTCATCCATCAGTGCATTTGTTTTCATTGCATATTTCAACTTCCAATGACCCTTTGTATGTTAATGACATTAAATCCACCTCTCCATGCCCTATAAAACCTCCTAACACAATACTCTGATAATTTCACATATCCTTATTCTCTTCCACCCTTAAAAAGCTCATGAGCATTCCAATAATCTTCTTCCTAACTCCAAGCTTGTAAACCTTAGACCCTATAGGTACAACTATCTTCAAAAAAATGAGATAGAGAAACAATCTAAGAAATGCTCTAATCATCCATCATCCAATCATAGTCCCTTTGCTTCTTATGTGTTACTTGTTAAAAAGAAAGATAACACTTGGAGACTATCTGTAAACTATAGGCAACTCAATAATATCACAACCAAGGAAAAATACCCTATCCCAATCATTAATGACTTGGTTGATGAACTCTCTTTTGTAAAATATTTTTCTAAACTTAATCTTACGTTTGGATATCATCAAATTAGAATGTCTGAAAAGGATATTACAAAATCAGCTTTTAAAAGACATCATTATTTTGAGTTAAAAGTCATGCCATTTAGCCTCGCGAACTGTTATAGCTAGCAACACACGGAGCAAAAACACCTGCAGAATGACCTAAACATCCCATAATAAAGTCTCTAAGGTGATCCCGGATTAGAGCTCCAAAAGCAGAACGATCCAATTTTCATTCACAGCAGCGTCCACATTACACTTCCAAGTCCCAAACGAGGGTGCAACCCACCGAACCTGAGAGACAGCAGCTGAAGCAGTAGTTGTTTGGAAGCATCGCTGAGCAGAAAGCCATTAGCGGTGAGAACTGAAAGCGGAAGTAACTACGAGTACGTGGAAGGAACTTGATTCTGCCATACAAATTTATTACGAGCAAACCAAATATGATAGCACAAAACTGCAAACTCACAACATCGATCAACAGAAAAAGAGTTCAGCACAGACAAAAGCAAACCTCCAAAAACAGATAATGCCCGAGAAAATATTAAACCAACAAAAATCCAACGGACATGAACAAAAGGGCAGGTCACAAAGGCATGTAGAATCGATTCATGGCCACCACAAGAAGGACAAGCACCATCAGCAGAAATACCCTGAGCCATTAGAACCGCCTTCATAGGAAGGATATGTTGACAAGCTCGCCACGAAAATGAAGGACCTTCGGCTGAACCTTCAACCTCCAAAGTTTAGGCCAAATATCCTCTGAAACCTCTACAACCAGAGCTGACAGCTGCGAAAATAAAAAGCAATAAACCATTTGAATAGTATAAGCATCAAAAGTGGACGAGTGCCATATAAGGCAACCCTCAGCCGCTCCAGCACAAATCGGCATAACAAGGATGCGGTCAGATACCAATGGCAAAAACAGGCCAGTGATCAGATCCACATCCCAAATCAACCCATCTGTATTGCGCAACTTCGACATTAAGAGATCTTCAAAACCCGACACAACATTAGAGTCAACATAAAACTCACCATCAACAAGAATCCATGGTTCAAACCAAACATTGCTTAAAGCACCATCGCCTACTCGCCACCTAAAACTAGCGCTTAAGTGCTCAATAGCAAAAACAAGACCCCTCCATACTTTGACTTGGATTGTGCCCTAGTTCGGCAGAAAAAAGGTCCCCACTTGGATAATATTTCGCTTTGAAAACATTACCAATCAAGGGGAGAGGCGACACTAATAGTCGCCAGACTTGCTTCCCTAAAAGAGCAAGATTAAAGCCCATAAATGGCGAAAACCAAGACCCCAACATCCTTTCCAACACACAGCTTATGCCAGCAAAGCCAATGAATACCCTTTGCACTATTAGATTGCGAATCCCAACAAAATAAATTCATGATCTTTCGCAACTCATCACAAAGTGAAAGCGGCAATAAAAAAGTACTCATACAATATGAAGGTATTGACTGAGCAACTGACTTAAGCATAACTTCTTTACCACATCCCTATCCCTTTTGAATCCAATCCAACAAATAATGTAATAACAAAAGGATGTAATAACAAAAGGATTTTAAACTTGTGAATAGAAAAAGAGTAGAAGATAGTTTTATATTTCTTTATGTGATAATAGTACAAGTTACAAAGGGCCTATATATATAAGTACAAAGAAGATATAAAAAGTAAAAAAGTTGGTGGATCTCAAAAAGACCTAGATTAAACCTATAATATGGTTAATGTATATACAAAATAAACTAGAGTCAAAGATAATTGATTTACATTACGGCTATATTTTAACAAAATTAATTAAGGATAGGGCCATAAAATAAATTTCAATAAAAAGATGTAAAACATTAAATGTTAGGTGGGATAATATTTGAGAAAATGTTCCCTCATCCTTTAAAAACTAACTTTATATATCAGATTACTGAACACTATCATCTAGGGAAATAGTGTTTTGACCTTTAAGAGCTACTTTATGACCCTGTTTAGCAGCAGCGTTTGAAGTAGTATTTAGTGTTTTGATAGGGTTGAAATACTATCTTAATTAATTGTAGCGTTCAGTAAGTATCTACCCTAACGTTTAGAGTTGTTGAGACAGTGTTTTATGAATTAATATTTTA